GTGTGTGTGTGTGTGTGTGTGTGTGTGTGTGTGTGTGTGTGTGTGTGTGTGGACAGGTATTTTGTGACGTATGAGGACCATTTTAAGACAAAACACCTACAAATGGGGACTACTGGTACATATGGGGACCTAAACAGAGTCCCTGTTTTGTTTAAAAGCCATTGGCAGGATGGAGGTTCGGTTTAGGGCTAAGGTATGAATTGAGTTTACATTAGCTTTAGGGTCAGTGAGGTTAGTTTTAGGCTAAGGGGCCAGGATTAGACTTTAGAAATTTAATGGAAGTCAGTGGAATGTCCCCATATGTCTAGGTGGACACAGCTGTGTGTGTGTGTATGTGGCTGTGGGTGACATGTTTGAGATCTTCCTAGAATGTACATGTCTGCTGTGCTCTGCAAAGCTCCACTTCTTTCCTGTAAAATTGTGCTCAGACTAGGGTTGGGCAATATTGGCAAAAAAAAAAAAAATCACAATTAATTATGGTATTTAGCCGATAACGATTAATTTGATGATTAATGCCTTGGAGTCCCTGGACACCCTTATATCCTAGTCACATGACCAATTTAGTGGGAAAGATTTGCTCTTTGTAAAAATCTTTTCCAAATTGTGTCAAAATTACAGACTTCAGGCTATACATCAAATTATAAATTGTGTTGGTAGATAAATAAATTACAGATTTTTTTTTACGTTCATCATATCTGAAGCAGAGAGGAGCACCAAGCGGACTCTGCCTGGTGGCATTAATTGTATTAATCGTCAAGTGCCAAAAAGTAATCGATTAATGTTTTTCTGACGATTAATTGCACACGATACGATTATGCCCAACCCTAGCTCAGACATTCATATGTCACACACATAAACATGTCTGTTTCATGTTTTAAACTCTGTGGCCACAGCTCTGTCAAATGACAGCACAGGTTTGTAAACGACATTTTTAAAAACACAGTATGTGGATTTCTGCAGGTCTTCAGCTGCTGCTGCAGGGATGTTGTTTGTGATGGTTCTCTCTGACCAGTTAATCCATAATCTGCTGATTCTTTATATTGGATGTGTGGATGTTCATCAACTAATTCTGACCAACAGCTGCTGTCGCTGCAGCTCTGATGTGTAACAGAATTTGTTGAAACTGTTACTGTGGTGACCCAAAGTTACTTTGGGAAATATTTGATTTTTAAAACATGAGTGCAACTAACCCTTTTTAGTCAGAACGATTCATCCGATTTCAGCAACCCTGGATGGTCCTTTCTCACGTAGAATCCTAAATAATAAACATTATTTGGTTCATACCTCTATTCACAATGCTCAGCTTTCTGGGAAGCTTGACTGTGTTAATCCTGAAAGCATCATCATGGCTGCTGTGTCTGTCTTACATGAATATGCTTATACTGCCTTTTGTCCACTGTGTTTGACACTCAAATCTAACTGAGCACAATTATTGTCTGGTTTGTTGCTTCAAAATTAAAGAGGTTCAAATTATTTATCATAAGGAGTTTGATGCAGTTTTTGTGTCCTTGTATGTTTGTCTCTGTTGTATTTTTGTCAGGAAACCTTTCGAAGAGTTAAAACATTGTACCTGCCTTTTCTGCATGATCTACAAAATTCCAATCTGCACATGGCTGACTGCCCTCTTATTCTCCTCACTGACTCCAGATTTTATTTTTTTATTTATTTTTGGTGGTGGTGCTGGGGTGGGGGGGATTGACGAATCCTGGGGTGACTTTTGATGTTATCATTATAGTTTGTGGCTGGTGAAGTGGCTGGGATGAAATCTGAGGTTCTGGTTCTCGATTGGAAAAGTGTGGAATGCCCCCCACTGGATCAGGGGAGAGTTTCTGCCACAAGTGGAAGAGTTTTAATATCTGGGTGTCTTGTTTGTTCATGAGTGATGGTAGGATGGAGCGGGAGATGGATCAACAAATTGGGGCCTCATCCTCAGTAATAAGGGCATTGCTTCAGTTGGTCGTAGTGAAGAAAAAGCTGAGTTGAAAGGCTTTTGATTTATTTGTCTGTCTACGTTCCAACCCTCACCTATGATCATGAGGCGTGGATCATGATCGAAAGAATGAGATCCTGGATACAAGCGGCTGAAATTAGCTTAATTCGTAGGGTGGTCGAGCTCCGTCATCCGGGGGGAGCTTGAAGAGCTGCTGCTCCTCCGCCTCGAAAGGAGTCAGTTGAGGTGTTTCAGGCATGTGATTAGGATGCCTCCTGGACGCCTCCCTTTAAAGGACATCCCACTGGTAGCAGGCCCTGTGGAAAACTCAGAACTCGCTGGAGGGATTATGTATCCTCTCTGGCCTGGGAACACCTCGGCGTCCCCCAAGACAAGCTGGAAAGTATATCTGGGAAGAGGGGTGTCGGGGTTTCTCTCCTGGACCTGTTGCCTCCATGACCCATATGGATGAGTGACAGAAGATGGAGATGGAGTTTGTGGCTTTAATTTTAGTCTTGCCTTGTTTGTTTGTTTCAGGACTTCTGGGTTTATCAGTTTTATTTTCTTGTTTCAGTTGCTTTTCTGGTTGAAATTTGGTTTCATCTTGTCTATTCCTGTGATAATGCATCTACTTTATGTTTAGATATTTTTGTTTTACTTTTGCAAAACTTTTTTTGGCTCCTTTCCTTCAGTCATTAGAATAATTTGTGTCTTGTTTCACTTCTTTCTGTATGTTTGTTTTTATTTATATTTTTGTGTTTAACTTTCTTCCTCTCAGTTTTCTGGTATTTTTATCCTTATTATTTTCCTTTGTTTTAGTCCTTTTAGTTCCTTTGACAATAACATACTTCTTTGAAAAGGCTGCTTTAATAATATGACTTCTTTACCAATAAAAACAATACTCAAGATATTAATCTAATTAAAATAACCTTTATATTCTTCTTTTGTAGAATTAAAACTGGCTTAAAAATCCCAGATCCCCCAAAAATTATTAAAATAAAATGAAATATAATAATCCTAACATGTGACATCAACCTGAAACTAGAACTGAAGTTTACCAAAAGGCTTTTAGAAAAGGGCTTTAAGGTTTTAAGTTGATTATAAATGGTTGGCTAGTTCTGCAGGCTCGGATCTGAAGTCAGAGTAAAGTCCAAATGGGTCACGTGTTGAGCAACAGAGGAGTGGACTCTTTAAGCTCCTCCAACTAAAAAAAAAAAAAAAAAACAATATAAACACATTACACAACAAGCTGCTGCAGGATTAATTCATAAGATTTAGCTTTACTGCTGCTGGATTGTTGTGTCCATCTGTGGCTGTAAGGACGGCTTTAGAAAGTCCAAACATTCTGGACTGTGCTTTACTTTTGGGGCTCAAATGGTTTAAATATGCAGACTGGAACATTTATCGTGTTGGCTGCAGACCAGTGGTTCATCTTATGTGGCATTTAATCCCCAAAAACCAACAACACTCAACATGAATAGATGAAAAATGAAAGGTCCATAGATGCTCTGCTTCCCCCTTCAGGCCACAAAACTTATTCAGGGTTATTAGATGCTGTAAATAAAAACAGCAATAAAATGAAAAAACAACAACTAACTAAAACTAACTGGAATTATAGACAGAATATCAAGCTCGCACAAGATAGCTAATTATGGCTATCTTGACACATAAGCTTCTCTCAGTAGCTCCCGTGAAAAACAAGCAACTGTAGCTCCGGGTTGGAGACAACTATTGTCATCGTCCTAAAATAATCGCCCATGGCCTTAATTGGCAAAAATGAGTTACACAATTATTTTAGGAAGGTATCGCATTAGATTGCTTTAACTAGCGACCAAATAGCTGTTGGTTAGTTAACTCCCAGGAACATCACAAGCTTGAGGATGCATTGGCAAATATGTTTATTCACTCTATTAAAAAAACTAATACTAGAACTAATAAAAACTAAACTAAAACTAAGCATTAAACAAACAATAATAACTAATAAAAACTAGCAAATCATGTAATGAACCTACAGTATGTAATATTTGATTTTCACTTTCTGAACTGACTAACAAAAATAGTTCAGTTTTTACATGATATTCTAATATTTTGAGCTAGTGTTCAGTTCCCTGTGTCTTTTGTTAGATCCATGTTTCTTTTCCGTCAGTACTTTGTTTTTATTTTGCTTAATTTTTGAGGAGGGTAATGAACCACTGAGGTGAACCTGCTCCCTGGCAGCATTTTTGGTTCCTGCTCTCCAAATGTGACTGCATTCTGTTCAATAAAAATAAAATAACTGTGTGTCTGCAGGTCTGTGTGGCTGCTGCTGGGCATTGCGCCCTCGCTACAAGCGGCTGGTCGACAACATTTTCCCTGAAAACCCAGAGGTAAACACTTTGAATAATTGCACCTTCCTGGTGAAAAGTGAAGAAAACTCTGATGAAACAACCTCTCCTTTGTGTTTGTGTGAACAGGATGGGCTTGTGAAAGCCAACATGGAGAAACTAACCTTCTTTGCCCTGTCAGCTCCAGAGAAACTAGACAGAATCGCTGCCTACCTGTCAGAACGTCTGACCAGAGAGCTGAACCGCCACCATTACGGGTCAGTGTTCTGGTTCTGTACATATCCAGAATATAAACAGATACAGGTCAGAGAAGGACACTGGGAACATTTTTAAACAAAAACAGGGCAGAAATCCTCTCAAAGTCCAGTCTGAATTCACCTAACAGTGGTCTGTTGTGTTGTTGTCAGGTATGTTTGTATAGCGATGGAGGCGATGGAGCAGCTGCTGCTGGCCTGTCGCTGTCAGAGCATCAACCTGCTGGTCGAGAGTTTCCTCAGTACACTCAGACTGCTGCTGGAGACCGACAAACCACACCTGCACATCCTCGCAACAAACTCGGTACGAAACAAATACTTTTGCAGGATATTTTTTAAAAAGTCTCATTTACCAAAATTATTTTTTATAGTTCTGCTCAGCCCCGTTAGGAAAGTTTGATTGATTTGATTTTGATTTATTTATTTAACAGGAAAAAAATATTAAAAATCAAGCCTGACTCAGCATAATTGCTGTTTTACAGCAGGTTCCTGTTCTGCAGCACATAAAACAC